CTGATGAATGCTCCAAGGACGACATTTGAGGACAATAATTTTTTTCCTTGCAAGGATCCGCGCGCGCAGCAATTTTTTCCTTTAGGACATTGCGAGACAAAGGGCAAATTATCGTTAGCAGAAACTTTCTCTTTAACCCCAATTAACACTTACTCATATCTCTTTTCGTTATCTCATACTTTTAGATCCTCAAATCAACAACGCGTTTCAACTTCGGATGGTCTCTCGTTGTGGCTTGGGTTGGAATTCTCTTTATCCTCTTCGCATCGGTGTTCTTCATCTGCTCCGCCAGCCGGTTAAAGGTGAGAGAAGAAATGGAAAATTATTTCCCTTATATCATTTACTTAAGAAGCCAAATTTTATTTAGGAAGGAGTATTGAACTTTGAATTTTCTAAATCATACTTTTTTTTCATAAACAAGCAATAATCTTTGCATCAAACTTGTTTTCTTTTCCTTTTCTTCTTGGGCATCTAGTACTGAGTAAAGGTGCCGACCTAGCGCTTCAGTACTAGAACTTCTCTTTATAAAACGAAGAATTCAATTAAATTCCACTAGCTCAAATCAAAATTGTTGAGCAGAAGTGCTGTTTTTGAATATGTTGTGACTTTCTGCAGTAAAAGGAATGCGACTTTATCGTAATGTCCTAATTATTTTTGTTTTTGCATAAGAATTCTTGGCTATGGACCACCTATCTGACATGTCCTCATTTTCCTTTTATGTTGTGCAATGTCCTTCCGGTAGTTGTCGCGTGAATATCTTCCGAATATGCAATGCGAAATGCAGGTCAGTTGCGCACGGATAGCTTAATGATATCGCCAGCAGTGGCTTCGGATATGATGTCGTAACATTTGCTACGAAATCTACGTTACTCTCGCTAGGTGGTCTACAGTGTTTGACCGTGGTGCGATGCTATCACATCGTGGCTTCCTTGACCCCGGTCTCAGTCAGGGTCGGGGCTATCTCTCGTATCTCCTGATGACGATGATGCGATTATAGGTAACTGACTGTTAAGACAATCCCAT